ACTTTAATTAATACGTGGGAACTTAGAAATGTTGTACGTTCAGAGAATGAATACCAGACACTTACCGTATGTCGCTCATGTACAAGGTAATCCAGTGGTTGGTTGTATAGGGTGACACTTAAGTTGGAAGAACAAGAAAGAAACACCAAAACTTCCAGGAAGGGTTTTAATAACAATAAAAACAGAACAAACAAACAAAATAACGACACAACGGGCTCGAACAACATTATTAATTTATTGACACGCGACAGCGTACCGAGATTCAGGGAATGTGCGATCCATAGCAAAATTTGGAATGACTTTATCCATTATTAAATTAACTCTGAAACTAAGTTATGACTGCTCAATGTGAAACCCAAGAAAGAACTACCTTTTTCTCGTAGATCTCTCCTGAATTCGACACTTCGCTTCGACACGACCATTTCTTGGGTCCAGAAGTTTCTGTTCTTATCTTACTGGTAGGAACTCTGAATGTCGGGACGCTTTGGCATAACTGTACCATGTTAATAGTTGTCTAATGGACTGAATTTACATTTGTCTAAATAATTTTGAGACTAAACTTACAAACAACCCTATACCTTCCTCTTGTGACTCCGCATAGCAATACGGGACGGATTTGTCCATCTCATTTAATCTATTCTTATAGCTTGGAAAATCCGCCTAAAAACCAGCTATTTGACCTATTATTATTTGCCTGACAACATTCTAACAACTTATTCTTAGAATTCCTACGTTCGTTGGAATGCATTTCGCGAGTTATTTGACATATCGATTTTTCTCTTTATCAGATGCTCAACACATGACCCCGACAGTCTAAGTGAATTTGTTAAAAAATATTGCTAAATTTCTCCGAAGGACGACGCTAAACCTACTTGAGAGCCCTTAACTTTCGATAATCAGTGTTGACTGAAATATTTTACTTTTTGTCCCATCCGTTCCGAGAACTAATAAATAAATGACCACGCGTCCCGGCTTTTGTTCATAACATGGACCTGTTAAACTAACGGATTCGCCCGAACTGTATTTTGTCAATGCAAAGCGTTTCCACACACAGAGAGAGAGACAGAGCTAGTGCTAGCAAAAGTCTAAGGTACAAACTGAATTAAATTCGATTTTTCCTCATTTAACAATACATATTTGTACGAGACATTTTAATTAATTATTATTAATAAATAAGGGCATAAATACTATTTGTTAATTTGGAATTTCTATACAAGTTGGGGAGAGAAAATGGAAATTACTAGAAATTTAAATTATAAGATATTCCATATTTAAACATATACCTATATATGTTATATATGTACACATTACAATTTTAATTATCAAAACCTGTAGTCAATATACAATCATGCTCTCAATAATACTCGGTTAGAATGATTTTTTTGTAAGCAAGCCTTTTTATCTTGCCTCTAAGTTGAAACATGATTTCGGGTGATTGATTATTATTTTTATATCAAATACCTGTTTTTTTCCTATCAGTTTTGATAGAGAATATTTTTTTACATTTACTGTCATCTGACGAAATCCTACGTACACCTGGATTTTTTTGAATTTGAGAAACGCAATTTGCTTATAGCCCATTTTTTAGAACCTCCTTGTTTTGTCTTACAGTTAAACTAAACAAAAATATTAATTAAAAGTTTAACAATTCGATGTACACTTACCAGTCTTACCAGTTTTTGCACCCATATTTATTTCCTCGTTCAAATATGTAAGTACCTTGTTCCTCTATACGCAAGTTTGACAAAAGCAATATCATAATTTTCCTTGGCCCATATTGATATTCACCATCAAGAAGTGATTTTCTTTGTCCCATCTTGATGTTTACCATCAGTTAATGGCGTAGATTTCAATTTTCTATTGCTGCAGTCATATTGAAGCTCTTTACATCTAGCACCACATGCATTTGTGGTTTTTTAAATACAATATTTGTCATTTACTATCTTACTGTACTTATTACAGTACAATTCTTGAATGGCTTTAGCTGTAATGTTTCACATTGTTTTCATAATGCCCTTTCATTCATTTTTACTCATATCATAAGCTTTATCATTTGTAATTACTGCAAGCTCTTCTGGGGTAACTTTTACAAGTAGTTCATATGTTCTTACTTGGAAAACTACATAATCTCAAGTCATATTGATGCCCATTATTTTCAGAAGAAGTATAAAATATAAACATGCAGATATCATCATAACTTCTCATACGTTCACCTTTTAATGCAATTAATCCACATCTACATCTTAGTTTAAAGCTTTCAAAAAATTCAAATGAATACACCAATACGCTCACATAAATTTAATTTTAGGCCTTTACAAGTCTTGCATCAAATCATTTCCAGTATCAAATGTCAACAATTTCTATAATCTTATTAAGTGAAACACGAACAGTTGAATATATGGAAGATATGTAATTGGCAATAAATGGTTATAAGTTGATAAGTTCGTTGATACTCTCGTAATAGGCATGCTGGAGGTGTACTAATATTGTAAAAAGTTCCTTTTATTTGTTTTGCCCTCACTAGCTTCATCTCTCTTGCACACATCAGGGCGACTGACCTCCCTTTCTAGACCCAGTCTATAGTTTACTAATTCTATGTTTCGTGAAAATTCCATTACGATAAAGCAAAATTTGTAGAAAATTCGCCTTTGGTGAGTTACCAGCAATAACACATGATCGGGTGTCTGTTAGCCACCATAATGGGAATAAACAGCTAATGAAATCTAAAAAAATACCTTTGCCACTATAAATCAAGTTACTATGACGGTTGCTTTCGCTGTACAGCAAAAATTAAACGCTCTCTCAACGGTAAAAATAAAGTATTTTATTGAAAACTAAGTTGTATAGAAAAAGACGTGTTCGTTGGAGAATCCCTGTGTGTGGAGTCGGTCGTAGGTATATGTGTAAGCATCTGGTCGCCGGCGTCAGTCCGCCGTAGACCCTTCCTGGAACGTTGGTGCGTCCGGCGGCGCTCTTGACGTAATGCTTAAAAATGGGTCACTTGTTAACATGTGTACCCACACACCCCTGCCAGTATGGATGCCATCACGGAACTTGCGGCCGGTCAGAGAAACGGACCCTTCTACCGGACCTAGTAGTAATTGCCTTGGGTGTGGTTGGCACGGATAATGGGGCAGAAGTTGATGGAAGGCTATTGTCCTCGTCCCTGGTAGCTGTCGCGTCATTCAGACAATACGCAGGTTTGACTCTGTCTATGGACACTTTAACTTCGCGACCACTCACTAGCACCGTGAATGTTTTGTCGTCGCGTTTGATCACT